AAAGGTTAGAAGCCCAAAGGAGAAGATGCGTGAAAATCCAAAGTGCTCCAAATCCACAAATTTTAGATTAAAGGAAGCCCACACTACCCTCATCTTCTTACAAAGAAGGTAGAAACTCAGAACTAGATTCAATCCCTAGAGAGAAAGTGTATAGAGAGAAGAGAGAGAGAGGATAGATCTAGGTTTAAAAAGTAAAGTGGGATCAAAAAAATGAAGAAGGAGCTGTTGCGGTCTACTATTAACAAGGCTCGCTCCGAGCGAAGATTGGTCGCTCGAGCGACCAGAACAAAGCACCCTCGCCGAGCGTAGAAAGTCTCGCTCGAGCCAAATCCGAAGCTTGCCAGGTCTGAACCCAGAAGCACGCTCTGAGCGAAAGGAAGAAGCTCATATCGAGCGAAGAAACTCAAAACATACAACTCGGCTCACCCGAAGCCAAGAAATGCAACTCTCAGGTCAGAATGAGACGAACGCAACGCGTGAGTGCAAGACTTCTCACTCGAGCCACCAGACACAAAATTCAACTCTACGCTCGAGCAAAGGAACCCCTTAGCTTGAGCGAAGGAACTAAAACAAAGAGCATCTCTCTGGGGTCCCCCAGGGGGGGGGCGCGCCCCCCCTGGCTGCCAACTAAAAAAAAAAAAAAAAAAAAAAACAGTTTTTTTCCGCCCAATCATGGGCCTCCACCTCACTAGGGGTCGACCCCCAGTGGGGGTATAAAGCATTTTTCATATGATAAAACTAATTTATTTGTGAATTTAAAATATCTAAAATGTAAAATAAATTGAATATGATATTGAAAAAATTTGACTAAAAATATGTGTGCATTATTGTTCAGGTTTTTGTTTGTTTTGTAGTGATTTTTTTTCATAATTAGTTAATTTTCTTTTAATTTTTTTGATGCATAACAAAAAAATTTAACTACAATATGGAAAAAAAAAATTAAAAAAATAGTAAAGACAAATAAAAATATCTGTTTAAAAATAATTTTTGAAAATTTAAACGAAACAAAAACTATGTACTAAAAACTCGAAACATTTGTAAAATCCATTGAAATTGGAAAATTTTGAACACAAATATAATAATTTTTTGAGTAAATTATACAAATAGTCCATATAGTTTATACAATGTGTCAATTTGGTTTATATTGTTTCAATTTGCTCGATTTTGCCTCTTAGTTTAACAGATTGTCTCATTTTAGTCCAATAAATAATGGTTGTTAAGTTTGGTGAATGGAAAATCTACACAATGTCTCAATTTGGTCATTGTAGTTTACACAATGTTTCAATTTGGTTCCTGTTGTTTTAATTTGCTCCATTTTGACAGGGACCAAATTGACACATTGTGTAAACTACAGGGTCCAAATTGACACATAGTTTGACTTTCCGTCCACCAAACTTAACAACCGTTATTTATTGGACTAAAATGACACAATCTGTTAAATTAAGGGACAAAATTGAGCAAATTGAAAAACAGGAACCAAATTGACACATCGTGTAAACTACATGAAATATTTGTATAATTTACCCTAGTTTTTTTGCACGAAAATTCTTGCTTTCCTACACTAATACAGTTTAGTGCAGATAATGAGAAGTCATATGTGTATCAACTTTTGAGTGATAATTTATTTGTTTCTTGATTTTTTGTTTTTGGTTTTTCCTTGTTAATGTTTACTTTGATAATAAACAAAACAAAAAGAATTGAAACTCAAGTGAACTAGTCCAGGTATTCTATAATCATAATTTAGCTAGATTATTAAAGTGTTGCAAAGCTGGTTTGTTTGTTTGTTTCTCTGGTTTTTACCCTTCATTTTGTCTCTGTCTGATTCAATTTTTAACCAAACATTTACAAATTAAGTTCAAGTTTGTTTTACAAATTTCAGTTCAATTTTATAGGAAAACAAAGCCCATTACATTAATTCATAAACTACATCACTTGCACAAGTTCATTATTACCACTAAGCACATAAAGACTCATAAAACCGCAAAAGCACAAAACAACAAAAACAAAAACAAAACCCTAGCGGAGATTCCACTTCATTGATGTTTCAAACCACACCACCACCACCACCAAGAATCCATTTTTAGAGCAAATCAGATCTCATCGACAAACGATGCTTCACCGGCATCCATGTACCTGCTGCGGTTGTTCCTCATCCAAACCTTGAAGACTTGAGGTACGATTCCGATATCGGAACAGAATTGAATAAGCTCCTCCTCATTGTGTCCCCACAGGCTCCACTCTAATGTCTCAGCAGCATACTCTCTCATTGATGCTTTTTGCTTCAATGTAAGCCTTCCCTTCTCTCTTCTCCTCCTCATCGGCTCCCTCTCCTCTTCCACCTCTCCATCTCCCAGATACTCATCCTCATTAGGGTTTTCACTACCATCACCACCACCAGCTGGATCTGCAGGGGCGGAGTGGGACAGAGCGAGAATGGGTAGTTGGAGAAGAGGAGTGGTGGCGGCCATCTCCCCGAGGATGTGGTCCGACCCGGGAGCGACGCATATCGGCATCTTTTCTCTTCTATGGAAAAGAAGAGAAAGCTTTGCCAGCCACCGATGGCAATTCGGGGTTTTTGGTCTTTTTGCCTTGGGTCTTTAGTTATACACCACAACACTTCATTTCCTCACTTCTCTAGGGCCGAAATCTTTTCCTCTCTCTCTAGACACTTTCCTTCTCTAGATCCGAGCTTTTTACCCGTTTTCCAACGCCCCACGCAAACTTTATTCGCTAAGCCCTCTTGATTGTCTTCACTTTGAACCAATTAGATTTTGGTTTCGACACTTTTTTCCTCATTTTCACCCTTCTAGGCTTGTTTCCCTCGAGTTTCTCTCGGGTTTCATGAACTCTCTCGGGCTTTGACTTTTTCTCCCATTTTCTCTCTCCTAGGGTTGACTTTTTCCAAGTTTACCTTATTTTCACCATTTTTTTTCACTTTTCACCTATTTTCCAGATGGCAGATGATTCACAACATGACGGGGCTCCTCCAGAGCTTCCCCCCATACTTCCACCTACTGCCAAGGCAGAGGAGCCAATCGTTGCCGAGGCTGGTGAGGCGGCTCAGGGCATCGAGGCCGACCTCGAGGCAGAGTTTCAGTCTGAGCTTGAGCTGGAGTCGCTACCATTGAGGGTACGGTCTTTTGATCTGGTGAGTAATCATCCTCGCACATATATCTTGCCAGCCGATGGCATTAGGCACTTTAGCAACTTTGTTCTCGGTGTACCAAAGGATCTCTTACTGAGGGAGCCAGGTTCCCACTTTTCATCCATCGCTGTTGAGGTATGAACTCTGTTTTTATGCAATCCTGCCTGTCTCTACTTGCATATCTTGCACTGCCTTTTATCTGAATGTACTTTTATCACTGCCTTATCTCATTTATCTATTCTCTGCCACTTGGCGAGTCTTGTGCCTTCAAAGGGTACGGAGCCACGACTGCACGAGATTGGTACGACGAGCTCCCTACTAGAGTTCGTGACATTATGGACGAGATTGGCTTTGGCCTCTTCTGCTCTGTCTTAACGCAGGTCATCGCTAGCCATCCTCTTCTAGGAGCACTTCCACTTCTCCACTGTTGGGGAGATGACAATGACTTCCTACGACTTCGCCATGATCACCAGCTTAGGAGTTGGGGGCGATCTGATCCTGTTTGACACTGACATGGGGGAGTGAGAGGCCGCCTGGGTCGAGCTATTAGGAGCGCGTCCACCCTTGTACCGGACAGCTATGGTCAGATATAGCTGGTTCATTGAGCAATTTCAAGGAAGCAAGCCTGAGACAATAGAAGAGATGGAGCAGTACGCCAGAGGCTTTCTGATGTTCGTCCTCGGTACCACCTTGTTTTTAAACAGGTGGAACACCGTGCGCTTATATTTGTTGAGTGCCTCGGTAACCCTTCCCTAGGTTCGCTTCTATAACTGGGGTAGAGCTGGCCTTGCTACCCTGTACGGATACATGAGCTCTACCTCCTGCCTGATGGGAGAGCTGATCGGAGGCTATTGCCTAGCCTAGGAAGTATACACTTCAGTTCCCTCTTTGTATTTTACATTTTCTGCTTCACATTCTCTGTTTTACATCTACTCAATACCTGTGCTTTCTGCTTTGCACTTTCTGTAGCTGTTCATGATGTATGCTTTCTGTTTTGCATTTTCTGCATCAGTTGATACTGTATGCTTTCTACTTTGCATTTTTTGCATCTGTTCATGCTGTATTGATCACATGCTACTACACTTTCCTTGTAGCTGCAGGTTTATGCTTATTTTTCAACACTTGCCCTAGAGCCCATGGAGGAGCTCCCACTAGTGGTTCCTTACTCGAGACGGTATGATGGCAAGTGTCAACGTAGGACTCGCGAGACCTTCACATTCTTCCGTCATTATTTCGACATAGTAGCTGCCCATGAGGTAACCCAAAATACAGTCATTTTTGCTTTAGAACAGTTTTGATTCACACTTTAGCAACTGTTAGCAACTAACAATCTGTACACTCTCTATTTGCAGATCATGTGGCAGTCTTGGGCTATGATGTCGACTGGGATACGGGACCAGTACGTCGGGGCCTGGGCCACTTCTCACTTCCGTATTCTACTTGAGGGCCCAGTTTGCTGGGCCTGGTTCCTGGGTGAGCGGTTTGTTTGCTAGACCGTGGGCTTACTAGACCCGATCATTCTGATGCCACCGCCAAAGTCTATGAGATTAGTAGACTGCCTATCCATTGATGCAGTCACTCAATTCATGGTAGGCTTGGATGTTGATTATTTCAGCGCAGAGGATGACTACGCGACTTTCATTCAGACACACCTCATGCCACCTCTGCAAGTGCTCGTAGAGGAGAGAGGGGAGAGCTCCTGTAGCGAGAGAGGTGAATAGGGCAACTAGAGCCCGTGCTAGAGGGACTCCCCCTGCAGGGCAGGGCACCAGCTGGCTAGAGCTTCCTACCGCACTGAGATGATAGTGGCATACTGGGGTGGCTTACCAGATTCAATTGAGCCCACAGCAGCTGGGCACGAGCTTGTCGGAGTTCGGGGTCCTTCTCAGGTACAGACTACACTTTACCATTTACATTCCGCATTTCATTTCAGATATGTTCATTCCAGATATTGATCATCCAAATGCATTTGCAGGCATCCATAGAGTACACAAAGAGCACTCTCGAGCTGATAGCCTCGTTGGTGGGCATGGTACAGAGGAGGGAGACACTGCTCGGTCTCCACAGCATCCTGGCATTTTCTTTAGTTTGTGCTTCATGTTCTCAAATTTCTATTAATACATTGGCATTTCAAACTGTAGTCTTTCCCAAACTGCATCTAACACACTATATCTGATATTGCATTCACGCACTATACTTACACACCGTATCTAATTTCTGCATACACTCATTCTACATATTATGCTTGCATCTGATGCACACACTGAAACTGATATGTTGACACATGTCCTTTCAGATCCCACCTATTCTGATGGCTTTGATGGCGACAGCAGCAGCAGCACTAGCACCGGCGGTAGCCCCTTTAGCAGCAGGGAGAAGAGAGAGGGATAGAGGCACCCGAGGCCGGAGTAGTCCTCCAGAGCCCATCTTAAGCGATGACGATGCTAAAACCAGTGACTCTGGAGAGGCGACGAGGCAGCATTCTGAGTCATCCGAGAGTGGAGACGATGATACTAGCTCTGGTTCTGAGAGCGGAGGTTATGTTGCTGAGGCAGGTTCTAGGGCAAAGAGCAGAGACGATGCTGGCTCTGGTTTTGGCTCAGAGACTGATTCAGATAGCGACGTTGATGAAGATAGTGCCCCAGAGTCCTCTCCTCCGAGGAAGAGAACGAAGGGGGCCTCTCGGGCCTAAGGCGACTAACGTTGATTTTTTTGTACTTTTGCTTAGTTTCTTTTTGTTTGGTAGCATTAGCAGATGTATAGCTTCAGATAGGTTTTATCTTTAAAAAACTTGTACTCTTCTTTTGTAAAAACCATGATCGGAATAAAATCTCGCAGCTTTTATAAAAAGTGTTATTATTTTTTGCATCATGAGCACCATATTTGCAGGAAATGGACATGGAATTGAATTGGCCAAGAGCGCTTGATTGAAATAATGTTCTTAATCGAGTAATGAACTGACCAACAAACGAAATACAAAATACAACATACAACTCGATAAGCAAAATAACTCGTTAAACAAAGCAAAAAGGCCTCAAGTACAAAATAAACAAACCATCTATAACCAAAAAGACTCAAAACAAGACCTTAAAACGCATAAAGATCAACACAAAACACATGTTTCCAGCACTGCACAGCACACAAGTGGGCAGCAAGCCCGAAAAGAAGGCTGCCGCTAGAGATAAAGCTTGTCGGCTATATGCCGACCACAAGAGGTGGCCCCAGCCACCAATGTGGCCTGCCGGCCACCTAGGGGCCATCAAATGTGGGAATCGCCAGATTTTTGACAGCTACCTTCCACTCAAAGCCTTATCTTCTACAAAAGGTCCAACTTTGTGAATTCTTCTCCAGAACTTCATTTCATCTGCAATTTCTTCACAAATGGAGCCGTTTTTTGCCGAAAAGCTCTCGGATTGGATTGCAACTTTAGACGGCTCGGAAAAGGTTAATTTTTGGAGTTTTGGCACAAATGCACTTTTTTCATTGAGCCGTTCTCCACTTTGTATTCCGTTTCTTCATGCCGCAACACAATGTTGGGACCTGATTACACATGTCTTTAGCTTCGGGGGATAAGAGATGTGCCCGATAATTGAAGAATTTTAGGCACCAATAGAATCCCGGCACGATGAGGAAATCATACCTCGGCCCCGTTTTGGCTACATTCAAGCTTTGGGACGGATGTGTGGGCTCACTTTACACGAGGCTCGATCTTTGGTTCACAACAGAGAGCTGGATATTCCTAGCCTGATTCATCACTTTTCTGACGTTAGTGATCGAGGCGACCTTTTCTGGCGGGATTTTAGGCAACACGCCCTTTGCTTATGTATGCTTGCTCAGTTCCTTCCTGCCCTAAGTTTCGGTGGGTCCAGCATTCGGTTGGTCGAAGTGACCCAAGGTTTGAAAGAAGGCAAGAGTTGCATTGGCTTGGTGCTGGTTGAGACTTTGATGGGCTTAAACGCCTTTTATCAGCGAGAGACTACCAGATTCGCGGGGTGCCCACTACTTCTTCAGGTATTGTTTCCTACCCTTGCTTATATGTGTTTCTCACATTGCTCGACACTCATGTTCTATTTTTCTCTTAAAGCCCTTTTCTCACTTTTCTCTCAACATACACCTCTCTATTCATTAATCTCTCGGTTGTTTCATCTCTCCCGAGGTGTGGCTTTTGGAAAAGCTGAAGATAGTGGACTCTTGCCCTGAGTACTCAGCTTGAGGCCATTTCTTCTACCACCGACTAGTGGATTTTCCGAACGAGGGGTGGTGATGCCACTAGATGTACAATATATCTGCTGCTGACATAGCTTGGCGTTGCCCCTGGCTTAACCTAACCGAGATGAGCTACAACGTGGCTCGGTAGCCTGGTATTCA